GAAGAAAAACATGTTAAGCTGAAGCAAAAAAAAAAAAAAACTATTGTAAAACTAAATGTGTGTTTTAGCTTAGTGCGTTTATGTTATTTCTCTGTCTGTCCACTGCTTGTATTTTAGTTTAGCGCATCGATGTGGCCTTTTCTGTCAGTACAGATTAGCATTTGTTTACACAGCTTGCTAATCAATGTAATGAGTGACAATAGCAGTCTGCATGTATCAGTTGTGGCTGGCCAACAGCAAGTGTTAAAGCAACTGTTAGTGACGGGTAGAACAGGAATGTGAGAGCTTTTGTAAAAGCCTCCGTGTTTATGAAAAAGGAAGGAAAGAGAGTTTAGACAGTATTAATCGCTCATTGGTTGGGACAATATGCCACCCACTGTGAAAGGTGGAAGGATAAAGGAAGAGAAAATGGAAAGGAGGAGTTTAGGGGAGACACAAAGGCTCTGTTTTGAAATCAAATAAACTGCCTTCCCAACATCTTAAAGAATATTGATTTTAATGTGACCTTATTATGGATTATAAAATGTTCATATTTTAGTTTTGGGAGTCCATATATTTACTAATGCTGGGAAAAGATTATTCACGATTAATCACGTTCCATTATATATATATATATATATATATATATATATATATATATATATATATATATATATATTAACCCTATTTATTTTTTCCACAATTTCTGTTTAACGGAGAGAAGATTTCTTCAACACAGCTGAAGACATAAGAACCTCATTTCTAATGGCTGAATTATTTTATCTTTGCCATTTTGACAGTAAATAATATTTGACTAGATATTTTAAGACACTTTTATGTGACATTTAAAGGCTTAACTAGGTTAATTTGGTTAAAAACGGCAGGTTAGGGTAATTAGGCAAGTTGTTGTATAACAATGGTTTATTCAGTAGATTATCGAAAAAAAAAAATATAGCTTAAAGGGGCTAATAATTTTGACGTTAAAATGTTTTTTTTTTTTATTTAAAACTGCTTTTGTACTAGCCAAAATAAAAGAAATAAGACTTTCTCCAGAAGAAAAAATATTGTCAAACATACTGTGAAAATTTCCTTACTCTGTTAAACACCATTTGGGAAATATTTTAAAAAGAAAAAGAAAACTCAAAGTGGGACTAATGATTCTGACTTCATCTATATATATATATATATATATATATATATATATATATATATATATACTGTGAAGTTAATATTTTTTATTATATATATAACATATTATATACATATATAATATGTAACAAAAAGTGATTTTAGATAAAGACACAATATGTAAGATTCCCTGTTAGAGATTTATAGTAATCAATGTGAAATCATGGGAATTGTCATAGTCCCATCCACATTTTATGAAAAATCTATCTGATATCAAGATCATAGATGGGATAATAAACTAAAATGGTGACGAATTGATTTAAACCTTCTAATTTGACCAATGAAATTCACATTCTTATTAATTAATATGCTAAAATGCACGTACTGTACAATCCATTTTATTCATCCACTCATTTAATGACTGCTCGAATCGCTCACAAACTATCAATTGTGCATATTTTATTAGCAGAAGGACCTTTTTTTTTTTTTTTTTTTATAAATCTAAAGTTGGTTTTCTTAACCCACCCATTACGGGCGCTATCAAAGACTTGACACGTACCAATCTAAACATTCAGCTTGTGCTAAACCTTGTTATGATCATCCACTGGGGAAAGAGAAACCACTTCCCCGACCGACTGAGAACTCCTATAAAATGGCCCATAAAGAATCCAGCCTATATAACCTTTACTACCAAGATATGCCTCCAATAACAGAGTTCTGCCGAGACCCTGAATGACCCCGATAAACTGCAGTCTTGCTCTCTGGGAATGCTTGCCCCGTTCTGTCCGCAGTCCAACTGGGCTGTTTTAAGATCTCTGTAGTGAAAAACAGTGATGCCAAGTTCTCAGCAGTGAGAAGGCCAGGCCGGACCAGCAGAGGGGATAGTTTACACTGCGCTGCACTGGGACACATCCAGATCCCACCTCCTGGAAGAACAGACGCACACACACTTTGCTTTATGCTTGTTAAAACTTACACAAATACACAAGCACGGCACCATTAAAACAGTCCCGTTTGACTGAGACAGCGCATGTAAACACAAACACACAAATGTTAAAGTTCCTCAGAGGCACGTTCACTGGACAGATTCGTTTGTGTTTTGTTTACCTTCTTGGCATTGAAGCTCTGTGTGGTCTTTGCTGTTATTTTTTGATCTCTGAACTTCATGTGAGGGCTTTCTTTTTAGGAAAGCATGATGTTGAGCAGTTTGAGTTGTGTTTTTGTTTGTTTGGTGGGTTGGTTATGATAATTAAGCTTGAATATAAAAAGAAAACTTTTTGGAGTTTGCAAATGACTTTCAGCAGACCATGAATATCCTGAAAACTCAAAATACATATATCTGAGGCAATATTATGTACATTTAATTAATATTAATGTACTGTAGAAAATATATGGATAACATAGTCTTGAAGTACAAAACACAGTCAGCTTTAAAGAGCTTTTATTACAAATATGCTTACGATACTTGATGTCATGTTAAAATACCAAGTGTGGTGTTTTTTTTATCACAAATAATAATAAAACACAAAGGCCAAACATTTCTGTATCTCTGTGAAATAAGCGTTTTTTAAATTGTTTGTCTATAATGAAATGTTTTTCCTGACAAAACGAGGCTCATAAGTGGTAATGTTAATAAGAGTAATTATGCTAAGAGCTTATCTGACACAACTGAAATGCCTTGAACCTTGTTTGCTTTCACAATGAAACAAAAAACGTCTGTGTGTAGGCCAGCGCTAAACTTTTTTTCCCAACAGTCTTGTTTTGATTTCAGGGTCTTTGTTTATTGCTGTCTATTTGCTTTATAAAAAAAACAAAGAAATCAATGTGATTGCACAGTTTAAAGTCTTTAGGGACCGTCACAGTTGTGCTGCCTGGATGATGTCACTTACTATGCACAGACATACTATTGTGACAAAATTGCACAAAAAATACCATAAAATTGCTTGGGTAAAACATTTAAAGCGGGTCTGGTGTCCAAACATATCACACTCATAGCAGTGCGATATGGCTGGACATCATGCCTTAGTCTCCCACCAGTGACGATATACAGCCATATTGCACTGCTACAAGTGTGATATTGCGTTTATACAACAGTTTAAGGGGGCAGAATTATTAGCCTCCCTGAATTTTTGACCACTTGTTTGTTTTTTCACCAATTTCTGTTTAACGGGGAGCAAATTTTTTCAACACATTTCTAAACATAATAGTTTTAATAACTCATCTCTAATAACTGATTTATTTTACCTTTGCAATGATGACTGTAAATAATATTTTACTAGATATTTTTCAAGGCACTTATAGAAAATTAAACACAGGTCTTAAAAATCACTTTGTACTAGGAACTACTTTCTTCTGCCGTTCATTGACATCTGCAGCTGACAGCAGAAACCATTGCTCATTCACAGTCATTTTAGAGCTAGTATTTGAATGATTCTCTAGCGTAATATCTTAAATGATGACAAAACTGGTAACTTTGCTGACATTTTAAGATGATAAGGCTGAACGACATGTAATGCCATACAGATATTTCCCAGTATTTCTCTGTTGCAATCGGAAGATCACAATAACCGCAAAAAAAAGCCAAAGCAAAGCAAACACTACTAGATTTCTATTCTATAAATACAGCACTACAACTTAAGGAGAGAGATCAACTTAGAATGTCACTTACAGTACCTGATCTATAATGATTTTATCAACTGTAGTTTGAAATACGAAAAGAAAACGCAGTTTTTCTCCCCTAAGAAATTATTATGCGGCCTATGTCGCCATCTTGTGGCTTTTTATTTCTGAGATGGTGCTTGGGCGGAGTAATACACAAGGGTGCAGAGGCTGTACGAGTGCTGACATTGCTTTAATATCTCATTGCTATCAACCAATCAGAATCCAGAACCAGACAGAATTGTTGTATAAATATATTTGTTGTATATATATTTCTTTTCCCATTATTTTTTTTTATTTCCTTTTCTTTTTTAATTTATTTTTATAGCAACATTTATTTGGTGACTTATTAAAACTTTATTTAAGGATCATGCTGCAGCCTGAACAAATAGGCTATTCAGTTATTGTAATTTAACTATTTATATTTAAGCCACCAGGTTTGACCCGTCAGTCAGCAAGACACTTTTAATAATTTAAAACATATTAAAAAAAAAGTGGTATTATCACACATTTTTACAGGACAGGTCATTCTGTTTTTAGTTTTTGCATAAATACATTTGTTACGCTGAATAACAATGAAACATTACATCATTCTTGACAATAAGTGATTTAAAACATTAAACTAGCCACTCTGCTTGCGTTAAATGTGTTTTCTATGAATGTATAATCGCTTGTATAAATTTAATGTGACTGGAACGTTTTATTTCCCTTATTTCATTCCTGACATTGCATTCATTTGTTATTCTCGTATGTCAGAGGTGTTGATTGCAGCAAAAACAGACTGCAGATAGAGTAATGCAGTCCGTGAGTCATAGCCGTGTCTCACATTCAGAAAATACATATGCAGTGGCCAGAATGTAATTCTGTAATTGCAGCTCTGCCTCCTGAGGACTTATAATTGCCTTTATTCTGACTCATGTAGCACGCCTCTTAGTGCATACATAGAATGTTGCCAGGGTTGCTTGGCCGTATGTCCAGAGTTTTTTTTTTCTTTCTTTCTTTTTGCATGGCTGACCTCTAATCCACCCTAAGGATATCAAACACTGTGGTTTTTCCAAGGCTATCAGCATACATGACTGCAAAGCCAGACCCCACACATGCACCCCATTCTGCGCAGCTGTAGATCCATTCATGTGTTCCTCAGTGGAAATGCATTAGGTTGTTTGCAGCAGAAGCTACTTTTATGTTTTTCTGTCAAGTAAATGAACCCTATGTTGTTCTGTCTGTGTCTGCAGCCAGAGGATATTGGACAGTCTCCGGTGGCCCCCACATCAGATGGGGACAAAGTGGATTTGGAGGCCTTCAGTGAGTTCACCAAGATCATCACCCCAGCCATCACACGCGTCGTCGACTTTGCCAAAAAACTGCCCATGTTTTCAGAGGTGAGCGAGCTGTTTTGGATTTGTTTTTGATTTTAGGTAACCCTTAATGGTTACAGTTTATTTTAAGGTTTCCTTGTTACTATAATGAGTAGTTACTTAATATTTGGTTAGGGTTATGATGCCAGTTTGGTGCATGTAATTATGCATAACTATTTGTAATTACATGGAATGTGTAGCAAGTACACCTTAAAATAAAGTCTTACCCACTTTATTTTACTGTGGCCTTGGTACACATGTTGCATGTGTTCATTGTACTTATAGCAAAAAAAAAAAAATGTATAAATGCATTCACCCAAAAACATTGCTTGCTTGGTTTTAAATTGAATTTGCTGCTTGTTGCAACACAATTTAGAAACACTTTAATTTAAGGTGATGTAGTTACACATTCCAAGCACTTGTAGTATTTACATTGAATTATTCATAAGTACAGTACATGTAACTAACTTAACCCTAATCCATATTCTAACCCCAACCATATAATAAGTATAAGTAATAAATGAATGTACTCAGTAGTACACTGTAACTATATCACCTTTTAATAAAGTGTAACCAATATTGTATTGCTATCAGTCTACTTATATTTATTAAGTCATTCCAGTTAAATTATTAAGTGTGTGTTGCGAGGTAAAGTTAAAACAGTATAATTAGCATATTTTGAAATCTGTGTCATGATCAAAACTCATCCTAACCCTATCAGTGTAATGCATTCCTTCATTTTCCTTCAGCTTAATCCCTTTAACCATTACAGCTGTTTTTACTTCTGCATCAATCACATGTGTATGCTGCAGCGCAGCCTACACGTGATCACCTATCCTTCGATGCAGTCATCGCCGGCGCTGATGCGCACCTCTCTAAAAATGTAACTACACATCACAACGACGCATATCGCAGTCTCTGTGATTGGTCGGCTTGGCAGAGGGTGTTTACAAGTGTCGAATGTCGAGATCTAGATGTGTTTACCTAATGATTAAAGTTGTTACAAATCTTCCTGCCTCAAAATGAGCAAATTTGAGTGACTTGTACATTAAGGTAGGGTTCAGAAAAAAAAACTGAAAAAAAAGAAAATCTACAGAGAAACAAAAACACCTATTGCCAGCTAGCATTTTGGAATTGTTATTGCAGAGCAACACAAACACCTCCCAGAAGTATAAAAGCACGGCATCGCTCATTGCACACCGATCACTCGACGCAGAAGTATAAACCAGCCTTAAAGGGTCATGACACCCCCCAGTTTCTGTTCAGGACTACCTCAGAATTTTTTCAAAAGATGCATCATAATTGGCATGAAGCTCCACAAGCAAAGAGCAGGAGTGGGCGTGGCCAGTAGGGGAGAAGGAGAAGAGCGAACAACTGTTGACAGTTATCTCACAAAATGAGACACAAACCATGAGGAGACGCCTGATTTTATAGTTTACAAAGTTAAAATGCAAAGAAATAAACAGTAGTTTAATGCCCTGCTACATTTGTTATTCGTCATTTTTATATACAGATATTTATATCATTATAAAGATAATCGTGTTCAGATAAACTTTTCCCTCAACTCCCAGGTCTGAATCATAGGTCTGAATGCAGACTCAGTGCAGCAGCTCTCTTGCCCTGTCTTTTTTAACCATTAGCCCTGTTGGTAATCTAGAGGAATTAGGTAAACACAGCAGCATGCCGATGTGTCTAAATGTGAACGAACTATTAATAAAAGACATTTGCCATTCTTCAATTCTAGTACTGCTCTCTCGATAAAAATGCTTGCTGCACACAAACAGCTTTGCTGTATCAGCCCTGACAGCATCGCGGGGAAAAACATGCAACGAACCCTGTAGATCATGGAAACAAACACATACGACCATTCATGAAGAGCTAAATACTGTGTGTCTCACAGCTTGGCACTGGCAGGTCTGCCTTGCCTTCAGAAAGCACATGCAGTTATGAATAATTAAGAAGCCGGCTCTTCTTATAGGAAAAGAAAACTCAGCTATGAATAATAACTGAATAAACTGATGTGTCATCTTTGCACTTGCAGTTCTGCGCTACTTCACCGATTTCGATCCCGCCCCAAAAATCATTTGAAACCCGGAAGCTGAAATTAGCTGACAAAAGCTCAAAGTTATCCAGTTTTTCCTCACAAATAAAGCTAACAGGTGCTAACATTGTCTTAACTGATGCTCTACACACAAATCTGTTAAAATCTCAAAAAAAGTACTCCAGGGTTTTGTAAACCATTAAGGGGTTGCCAAAGCAGGAGGAACTTATCTGACCAAGCCAGGGCTTCAACCAGCAACCTTTTTGCTGTGAGGCGACAGTGCTAACCACTGAACCACTGTGTTGCCTCCATATAATAAGGTATAGCTTCTTGTCCTTCACATGATTTCGTAAAAAATAGATATGTTTATGTTCAAACAAACCTCTTTCATGTTTTCATTATGTGTGTTTGTAGAATTTTTAAGAAAATAATGTATTTTATTCATTTTGTGTCTGTAAAATGAGGAAAGGGTGAAGCACTAAATATGGATGCACTGTTAGTACATGGAGTTAATAAAAATTGCTCCATATTTAAAAGGATAGACTCAACAATTAAATTTAATGACCCTCTTTGTGTTATTAACTGGTTCCAAACACTATAAAGAAGATGTTTTGATGAAAGCCAGAAACCTGCCCTTTTGACTTCCGTAGTAGAAAAATCAAATACTATGGAAGTCATTCAACACATGCTTATTCTGAAAACCTTGTCCCTTGGACGTTTCTAGAGACCGCAAATTATGTAGCCGGAGGTATGTATGGCTGCATTTCATTTTTTATGAGAACGCTACGGGGCGGTATGAGGCCATTCCTTTTGGCGCTCACCGGCTGACTGCTTACCTTCGTGTGGAGAGCTTTTCCGCTATACCAGTTTGTCCAGTTAGCTCATCGTGTACGTCGGCAGACCTGAGACGCAGAGAGTTAACCACAATGAACAGGTTCGAGTCCGGGGAAGAGCGGTTTCAGAAATCAGATCACATCAGAAATCTGTGGTAAAATCAGAAAACGTGGTAAAAATCAGACAAAGGCTTTTCTTTTTCTCGACGGCTTTTGTAAATCATTGGTTGGGTTTAGGGAAGTAAGTGGGTGGGTGGATGGATCAATTGATAAAATTGGTTGGGTTTAGGAAAGGAGGAGGGTGGGTCAGTCGATTGGCAAGTCACCCAGTTAATCCTTCAGTCAGTCAGATAGATGGACGGTTGACAGCGGCCTCTGGTGGGTTTACGCTAAAACAGCACGGACGCGGACTGCATTCGCAAAAGACATTTGAGATACAAAAAAAGTGGCCTCATGTTTATTCGGGAAAACAAAAACTACAAAAATACACACCTCCCAGGATGTATTTCGCAGTCTACTGAAACGTCAACAGGACTACGTTTTCAGAATGAGCCTGGGTTGTAGTCGATGATTACAGGCTTCCAGCATTCAAACATATCTTCTTTTGTGTTTAACAGAAGAAAGAAACTCACAAAGTTTTTTAAATGGCAAGATGATTAATTAAATTAATACAGAATTGTCAATTCTGTATGAAATGCACACTTATACAGTTATAAGGACACAACCTCAGTTATAAGGACACAACTTTTACAACCTGTTCAAAGTACTGGTGTCGTTTGTTAAATTAAACATTTGAATACACTTCATTTAAAGGTGTACTTGTTACAGCGTAACGGTTCATTTAACTACTGAATATTATGAATTAATCATTACATCTACTTGCCAAACAGTTAGGGTTAGAATGCAGGTTAGGTTTAGAGTTAGTTGAATTTAAAAATGCATAATTAATAGTAATTACTAAAGTAAGTACATGAAAAGTTTAAAGTTTAAGTGTTACTAAACATAACTAAACTGCATATTTCTGTCCACCTGCTGCTGTCCTTCTCTAAATTCGTGTTGTTTTTAATATGTGCCAAATAATCAAAGAGTAACACATATTTCAGGTATTTGTTAGTGTGGGTGGGTTTGAATGTATGTTTTACCATCATGTTGGGGTGGGTTGTACAGTTGTGGTTTTAATGGTATGTGTGTGTGTAAGCATGCATGTTATGTTGCCACATTACATCACTCACAGCTCAAGCGTGTGGCATTTTCTCCATATTTAGGATTCACCAACTCTCTTTTAACCACAAGTGTGAACATTCTTGCATAGTAGACTACACAGCACCCTTATGGCAATGAATTTATTATTGTCTACGCCATTTATCCTGTCATCCACACGTACCCACTACCTCAGTCTATTTTCTATGTTGAATGGTCCACCTTCTGTATTTTCCACATTTTGTAACACAGAGCTTATTTAGACAGACTGTAATAAAAAATAATACTTAATGATGGACCTAACCTTGTTGCTCTTGATAAATTATGTGAGATGTTTAAAATATCTGTTTAAATATCACTTTAGTCTTCTGACATTTTCCTCCATTTTTCCTCTCTGTTCCCAGTGTTCCCAGTTCCCAGTTAACGCATGCCTTTTACGCAAATTTGTTTAGCATTTAAAAGAAAAGAAAGTATTTTGAAAGAAAATAACATTTATTTATTTTTGTTAACTTTGGCACTATAAATAATTTACACTCACTGGCCACTTTAATAGGTACACCTTACTCTTACCAGGTTGGACCCCCTTTTGCCTTCGGAATTGCCTTAATCCTTCATGGCATAGATTCAACAAGTTACTGGAAATATTCTACAGAGATTTTGGTCCATTTTAACAGGATAGCATTAGGCAGTTGCTGCAGATTTGTCAGCAGCACATCCCAAATCTTTTTTGCAAATCTCTTGTTCCACCACATCCTAAAGGTGCTCTATTGGATTTATTTCTGGGGACTGTGGAAGCCATTTGAGTACAGATAACTCACTATCATGTTCAAGAAACTAGTCTGAGATGATTCGCGCTTTATAACATGTCGTGTTATCCTGCTGGAAGTAGCCATCAGAAGATGGATACACTGTGGTCATAAAGGGATGGACATGGTCAGCAACAATGCTCATGTAAGCTGTGGCATCGACACAATGCTCTATTTGTACTAATGGGCCCAAAGTGTGTCAAGAAAATATTCCCCACACCATTACACCCCCACACCGTTGATACAAGGCAACAGATCTACTGTATGCTTTTACGTTATTGTCGTCAAATTCTGACCTTACCATCTGAATGTCACAGCTGAAATCGAGACTCATCAGAACAGGCTATGTTTTTCCAATCTTCTATTGTCAAATTTTGGTGAGCTTGTGTGAATTGTAGCCTCAGTTTCCTGTTCTTAGCTGACAGGAGTGGCACTCAGTGTGGTCCCCTGCTGCTGTAGCCCATCCACCTCAAGGTTTTATGTGTTGTGCATTCAGAGATGCTCTTCTGCATACCTCAGTTGTAACGAATGGTTATTTGAGTTACTTTTGCCTTTCTATCAGCTGGAACCTGTCTGGTCATTTTTCTCTGACCTCTAACATCAACAAGGCATTTGCGCCCACAGAACTACAACTCACTGAATATTTTCTCTTTTTTTGGACCATTCTCTGTAAACCCTAGAGATGATTGTACATTAAAATCCCAGTAGATCAGCAGTTTTTGAAATATTCATGCCACAACCAAACAACCATGTCACATCCAAAGTCACTTAAATCACCTTTCTGATGCTCGGTTTGAACTGCAGCAGATTAGAAATTTATGTAAACAGTTGGAAAGGTGTACCTAATAAATTGGCCGGTGAGTGTATCCCATGTTGTGTAAACAGTGTAATCATTCCAAGGTTATATACACAACAGTCCTCTTTAATATTTATATTGTGTTGCATATTTTTTCTAAAATGTTTTCATTTTAAGTTTTCACATCAGCTGCTGTATTCATCATGCCATCTCATTGGTTGTTGTCAATTCATGATATAATTTAATCATTTTTAAATGATTTAAATTAATTTGAAAGTTTTATTATTGACACATATTTTATCCCCCACAAAAGAATAATAATTAATTTGAACCAAACAAATAAATAAATGATAATAATCAGTATGCACATACAGTATTACTGTATAATAATAAATAAAATGCATTCACATGCCATTAGATGACATAAATATGTATTACCATGTGATTGTCTGATTTGTATAGCTGCCTTGTGAGGATCAGATCATCTTGCTGAAGGGCTGCTGTATGGAGATCATGTCTCTGCGTGCTGCAGTTCGCTATGACCCAGAAAGCGAGACCTTGACCCTGAGCGGAGAGATGGCTGTCAAACGAGAGCAGCTCAAGAATGGAGGGCTGGGCGTTGTGTCTGATGCCATCTTCGACTTGGGCAAGAGTCTGGCGCAGTTCAACCTGGATGACACAGAAGTGGCGCTGCTGCAAGCTGTACTGCTCATGAGCTCAGGTTAGCAAAGACACCTTCATTACAGTAATTCAGCTCATAAAGCAAAAATAGCCCTTGTGAGCTACACTTAGCATGTTTCTTAAATATCTGGAACATATTATGGTATTTTTAGGCTTTAGAAGAGTCAAATGGTTGAGATTAATTAATGGTAATGGACCTACTTGGAACTTTATTACCCTCTTTTGGGGATGTCCTACCTACTTTGAGAAGGCGCCAGAGCTGCAGTAATGTCCTTCATACATAGGAAGAGACTTTCTATGGTAGCAACCTTTCTTAAAATAGAATTTGTATATACTGTAGAACGCAGCTCCATTAACAATAACTACACGACAGAAAGAGGACTTCTTGCATGAAGCATGCAATTAGTTTGGGAACATCTTGAATATTGGGTAACACTTCATAACAAATGCACACAACGAATCTCTTATTATGAATTAGCAAATATTTCATTTGTTATTAAATAATCATTAGCCTCTTTCACACAGTGATAGCTATAAATATCCGGTAAATTTCCGAATGACTTTATCAGTAAATTTTTTAAAAATGCTGTTCACGCAGGCAAGAATATTCCAAAATTTTTCTGGAAAAGAAATTCTAAAATACCGATAAATTATGACATCATTAACCAGAAATTACCTCTAAACAGCTGCGCTTGTATTTGTAAACACAGAATGGGGTTGGGCTTTTGCTGATGGTTAGTGGTACATAATATGCGTGTGTGCGGGCACTCACTGACTGCTTTACATACACACACGTCAAGCAACTGAAGCAGAGCTTAAAAGGGAACAAACAGCGGTTTATCATGAGCATTTTATCGATAATTTTTTCCACAGTTTAAGAAGAAACATACAAATGTTATCTGACTAACATCTAACATCTAAATGTGTCTGGGAAAATATTCAAAGGCTTTTATTTTCAACATTAGCACGAATGTGAATGCATCCGAATGTTCTGATTAGCTGGAGCAGAGGTCTCACGTCAGCGTGTTCTAATCATAAACGTGCTCTTTCCGGCAATTTTCCTTCTGCGTACACAGAGCGCAGCATTTCGGCAAATTACTGGTAGTGTTCTTTCAGGAAAATAGCAGAAACGAATTTACCATTATTTTCAAAAAGGGCCTGTTCACACATACATTACCTGTCTGAAAAATTGAAAGGAGCTAATGACTCTACGTCAATGTATATTAATTAGTAGTTCATTAATGTATTTAAAAATGCTGTACTCTTGACTTATAAGCACATGTATAATGTGCTTAATGATTGTATTTTCATACAAGCCTGTCGTGTAATACTGAAGGGCTTTAGTCTGGGAAAACGACCATCCTTGGTTCACTTTATTCTGCTTATTACATGGCTGCTTGTCACAAACCATACAAATTATACACAAAACATAATAGTTTATTGATAGTTTATCAATTCTTTGATTAAATGTAAAGCAGACAGAATCAAAAACAGCTGATAGGGTATACACTAACCTAAGTATTATTCAGGCACAAGATGGTGCTAAACAGTCAAAAATGCAAAGCTGACAGAAATGAAACCGACTAAATAAAGAATACTAACCTACATATTATTAATTCACAAGATGGCACTAAACAGTAATAAACTGTGGCATGACAGACAACAGGTTACAATAAAGTGGTGTAAGTGAGACCAGCAAGGGGCACTCAAAATGCGGTCTGTGTGGGTTCTAATGCCCCAATATATTGATAGGGACTCTATACTGGTCAATGAGTGCCGTCTTTTGGATAAGACGTTAAAACAAGATCCTGACTCTCTGTGGTCATTAAATATGTCATAATGTCTTTCGAAAAAGAGTAGGGGTCAAATTTGGCCACTGGCCTCTGTCCATCATGGCCTCCTAACCACCCCCATATCATAATTTGCTTTATCTCTCTGTCTCCTCACCAGCAATCAGTGGTGGTGGATGAGGAGATTCCCCCAATGTGTAAAAGCGCTTTGAGTGTTCAGAAAAATGCTATATAAATGTAACAAATAATAATAATAATAACAATTATTATTATTATTATTATTATTATTATCATTATCATTTTTATTATTATTATTATTTGAATTTCTCGGATGAGCCTGCTTGATTTAGTGATTGTTACTTGAGAATACTATACCTTTGATGTCGCGATTGACCAATTAGAATCGAGTATTCCATACTGCAGTGTTTTAATATTTAATAAACGAATAATAGTGTGCAGTTATTATTAAGTGTTACGGAATATTGAATTGCTAAGAAGTATTTAATTTATTTAATGTGTGAACTCTTACTAGAAAAAAGTTAAGTTTACAATCCTAAAGTTATTGCATCTTTTCTGGTCCAGATCGTACAGGTCTGACGTGTGTGGAGAAGATCGAGAAGTGCCAGGAGATGTACCTCTTAGCATTCGAACACTACATCAACTATCGCAAGCACAACATTCCTCATTTCTGGCCCAAGCTGCTGATGAAGGTGACGGACCTGCGGATGATCGGAGCCTGCCACGCCAGTCGCTTCCTGCACATGAAGGTGGAATGCCCCACTGAACTCTTTCCCCCACTTTTCCTGGAGGTCTTCGAGGATCAGGACGTGTGACGTCCCGGCGAACTGCGGCAAGAGAATCAGGAACGTTTCGTAACCGTGTTCCACAAGTCGTGTCACCCCCTTCCACGCACCAAACTCACCAGCAGCAATTGCATTGGCAGGGGTCACCTTCAGAAAGGCTTTCATATGGGGGTTCAACAACTTTGTGTTCATTTTTTGGCTTTTCACAGAAAACTCTGTGCCCCTCCCTCATCAACTAAACTCCCACGTGTGGCCCTTCTGTCTCGGCATGATGTCTTATACTGGTTTACCAACACCTTAGGCACAGGATATACATCTACACATACACACACACTGTTATAAGTGTGCTTACAGATGCAGTACTAACACGTCTTGAGTCTTCTGATGAGCTTGTATGCATTTGTACAGACTGCACTACTGTCATGCCACCACTGGAGGTGCCCTCTGCTTCGACTGGATGGCAGCTGGCTTATAGATTCCTCCACCAGGTTGTGCAGTGGTCAGCTAATTTCATAGAGTTCTTGAGATGTTAACTGTCGATATCTCATGCTCAGACCTCATGATTCTCTTTGACATTGAGCCTGTGTGCGGAGCGGGAGGACATTTTTGATACCAAATCAGGTGCTATATTTAAATAAAGCTACTCAAAATGATTTGGGACCTTTCAAGAATATGCCCCCCTCCCTTCTCTGTAGGACACAGACCGTTTGAAAGCTCTCGGTCAGCAATTAAGTGCTTGTTCGGGGGTGCCACTTACAGTACAGACGTTGTGTGTGGTTTGTTCTTGCTATGGTCTAGGCTTATCTGAGGGCTCTGCGAGTCCCTCTTTGTCCTAGGAACGTCACATAGAGAGACAGAATCCAGGCACCCCTACACCTCCGATATGCACTGATTGGTGTTTTACAGGTGTTGGGAGGGAGCCAGTATTACAGTACTCCCAGGCCCAGCACACACACAATACTAAAACACACACCTCAAAACTCGAATGCCTCATTTTTACTGTATGCACTGCAGTGCTGTAGTTCTGGACTCCCATGCAGGGCTTTGAGAGTTCAGTCCAGCCCATCTGTGCTCTGCTCAGATGCTACTGTCGCCCGGTCTGTGTGAGCACACGCGCACACTCCTGACGGGCCATGGTGGACTGGCTGTCGTCAATGTTTTTTCTTTGTGTTGTTTTTTGTTTTACCTCAAATGTGGGCACACCTCTGGCTGGCTGTGGCTCCAAGACTGCCTCTGTGCTGACAGGTTCTACCTCACCTCTGGACACGGGGCAGCTACCCTCAGCCACATACACATTTACATTTACACACACCTACACACACTGACAGCCAGGAAAGAAACACTCACTTTCTTCTCAGTTATGTTGAAATACCACTGCAGACAGGAGGGCCTGCCATTCCTCATCGTAGCCTGTCAGATTTCTGCAAGGTCTTCTTCACTCTGGGCTGAAAGAGAAAAAACTGTTTCGGATGAGCTTTTTTTGTTTCTTGTTTTTCTTTTCATGTGGGACCAAGTGTCACTTCGATTTCCGTCAAAACGGAAGCTAGTTAACGTACATGCCGCTGACTAGGAAGAGGAGCCGTGGAGAGAACTACAGATGAAGGACCCGAGGTGGCCAGACCTAAACCAAAATGGGTCTATTGCTGTTTCATTTCCGATACCGAGCAGTAATTTGCAACGCGGAACAAGGTGTCGACTGGTTTCTTCAAGGTGAGGCAGGGGATGCGGGGGAAGCTAGCAGCTGAATGAGAGCACTTAGCTTTGAAAGAGCCAAATCTTCAGAGACGATTCAACCCCTGACACCTTTTAAGGAGTTTTTGCACTAAGGCATGATGGCCCCCCCTTCCCTGTTCCTCCAGCTCAGACGCATGTTTTCTGAGGACACACCCCCAACCTCTCTGTCAAACAGAGGCCACACCTCCATATGCTCCTGAACACACCCTCACAGTCAGTATTAAGTCAAGCAATGTCCCGGTCATGTTCTTTCTCATTAACCAACGACATAATAGTCAGAAAAGTTCATGAACAGATCGGCGTGTCCCCCACCCCTTCAAAGCCAGAGGTGGCTTAAGATGAACACCCAAAAGAAACGGGCCTTTTCTTTGTGAGACAAAGGAGCGGCCAAAGCCATGCAAAGAATGGCAGCACCGAATGAATGTGAACGAGGAGCGGCAGAGTGAACGAGAGCCAAACCGAGGAGTTGCTCTATAATGAGGTTGCGAAGGAAGGCAGCCAATCAGAATGAGAGGAACTGTCAGCATTCCCGTATGGATTACGAGTGACGCCTCAGTGGTTGCGATTGGCGGATCGAGTGAATGCGGGGGTTTCGATGCTGCTTCATCTTCTAATTTTATTTTAAAGAGATAGAAAACAAACAAACAAACAAAAATATATGGTAAAAGAATCACAAACCCATTAAACAAATAAAAAATGACTCCAGAACAAAGAATTCAAATCTCGGAGCTTGAGCTGTTCGTTTCTTTCTTTTTCGTTTTTCTTTTTTATTATTTGAACTGAAATGTGTGTTTGTTTTCAATGCTTAACTGCTCTATGTAAGAGAGAAAAACAACAGCCGTAGTCACTTTTTTGACCAAGCGTGCAGTGTAAACTAGAGAATTTCACCTCTTTTTCACCTCACTATAGATTGTAATGATAAGTTGACTCCTCTGTTTGTCTGTGTATCTGTCCTTCGTCTTTTTATCAAGAGGAATTTACAACAAGAAACAGGAATATTTTCTTTTTTATATTTTGTTTTCTTTTTTTATGAAAGAAGACTTAAAAAATTTGAGAAATAATGCAACATAAACTGAAAAAAAAAGAACTGAAACACAATCTACTCATACCTCACACAACACAAAGCTTAAATGAACTTGGGAGGAGTGTTGATCTGCGTTGACACTTGTGTCAAAGTGTGTCCAGTGCATGTGTTGAACTGTACGATGGGGTGTATGTGCGCGTAAGCGTTCATGTGATCGCAGAAGCACACGGCCCCCTCCTTTAGCTTCCAAAGCCCATCTGTTTCAGATTTGCACCAGTTGCATGCATTAGTCTGTGAACGGCGTCGCCTGCGCTGACGCGACAGGCCATAATGGGAGTGGACGGGATGTGGTGTGGCTTGAAGGCTGAAAAGGGAGTCGTGTGCATCTGTGACAGCAGAGAGTGCTTCATGGTGTTGAATGTAGCTGACAGGACTGGGCTGGATCCAAGCCCAGGAACTAGAACCTCACTTCAGGTCACCAGCAAGAGTGGACAGTGCTGTCAAAAAGATGTTACACAAACAGCTTACTAAGCGTATATATTGCCCGCCTTCAAGGTGCAATACTTGTTTTGTTTCGTTTTTTTTTTTCTTTTTTGTACTTTTACAGATTTTTTGGCCATAACCAAGGATGTAAATACAAAAAGATATTGAAAGATTAAATCACTATGTGTTATCCATATGCAAGCTGGATGTCGAGGCCAGAACGCAGCCCCTACGCCCATCGCTTTTGTAAAGTAAAACTGATATCGTAGCTCTGTAAATGCTTCACACATCTGTACATGTGCTTTTGCACACTTGCAAACGTGCATGGTCGATAAAGATATGAAGAAATGCCCCATGAAATTAACTGTCCAACCACATGCGCCCGCAGCCCTCAGCCCCGCACTCAAACCGCTCTTTCTGACAGGGTAGCCAGACTTACCTTTATTCAGTCAGATTGCTGGTAGAGATGTAGACGGGTATGGTCTGCTACCCAGAAGCACTTAGCTGGCCTCGCCACTGCCAATCAGATTCCTCAAAGGGGAACAGTAGATACTGGTTTTGTTTAGCTTTGGTGGTGGTCTTGTTTGGTTTCTTGCCCTTATTTTGTGTTATGTAATATTTCTTGTTTGGAAAAAACAAAAACGCCCAGAACCAAGAATGTCTATGCAATGCTAAACCACCTGATAGCATGATTGCTGTGTCAGCGAGCCCTCATTAGCGAATATGTCTCTTTCTAAACACATCCCACTTCCCCACCCCACCCTACCCCAAAAAAGACCCATCCACCGCAACTGCATGAGTTGTTTTGTCTGTTCATCAGTCAGTGTCATAGTCAAGGGACGGAAGGCCTTTACTGTTGCCTGATACCTGCTTAGTCAAACCTCCCGAACATACAGTAAGAGGGCACTAGTTCAACTTTCCTCTGACTCCAATGATGTCAATCGCTGTCGATTCGTGTTTTAATGTATGATGTATGTGTTTGCATCAAATGCTCTCATGGTTCGGTGGATTGGTACTACCTAGAATGCCAGTTCATACAAACGAAATGTAAATTTCCCTCAGCACCTCAGCATTTGTGAATGAAATGAATGAAACATCATTAGCATACTTTAGTATACCAGGAAATGTTTTCTCTCCCCTTTTTACTGTCACTTCCTGTCAGATTAAGCTCCCTCAGACTTAAAGCCGAAGTTTGTCTTTTAAGATAAAATTCAGATTGAAATAGTTATAAGGCTATGTAGGGCTGCACGATAAAACACATGAGATTGTCATTTGCAATTGTCAGTTTTAGCTGGCTCTGTAATCAGCTGTAAATCTCCAGCAAAGCTAACCAAAATATTGTCAAAACGCAGATAATCACTTTTCAGTGAACTTTGGCCCTTTTTTGTAAATGTTGCTAATGTTAAATCTGAAAGCATGTGCAAATACCACATAATAGCACGATATTGGAAAATTTTAACAGTGTGATATATTTTTTAATTTTCTTACATTTTATATAGCAATTTTCTGGTGCTTTACACATTTTTTGGGGGGAATCTCCTTATTCACAACCGGTGTTCAGCATCCACCCGGATGCCATATTGCACCAGACCACACACATTAGCTGATTGGTGGAGAGTGATTAAGCCAATTATGATATGGGAATGGTTAGGAGGCCATGATGAACAGAAGCAAAAATCAAACCTTTTATTGTAGGACATTTTTGACAACCACCAAGTCAGGACCTAATCCAAGCAGTATAGAGTCCCTTCAATAAACTGCAGCCTTAGGACCCACACAGACCGCAGGTTGAGCACCCCCTGCTGGCCTCACTAGCAGCAGCAACCTAGCTTTCCCATGTGGTCTCCCAGTCAGGTACTGACTGGGCGCAGCCCTGCTTAGCGTCAGTGAGCAACCATGTGAGAGTTGCAGAGAGCTAGCTGTTGTCAATATAAAAATTTCACCAGATGACTTAATATCTTCATTTGGAAAGAATTTATAATGTTAGGTTAATTGGGGTGATTCTGCAGTTGGAGAGAATCTCCATAAAATCTAATAAACAATCTAAATACAATCAAGAAAAAAATACAACTGATGTAAAGTGTTTTATTGTTTTCAAAGTCTAACAGCATTCAAGTAGAGTAATTAAAAGATAAAAATAAAAATAATAAAATAAAATAAATCATTGTTAAAGTCAAAAATGGTACAATTTAATATGCCTGAATGCTTTAAAATCCATCTCAAACACATGCAAATGATAAATTATAATACAAACTCAACATTGCATATCCTGCGATGTGACTATTGCGAATGATCACATAGCGATTAGGTTATCGTCCCATGCTTAATTATGATTTCGATGCTGAAACGATATATTGTGCAGCCGTACTACATATAATCACGTTTTTATACCAAACTCTGCTAAGCTATGACATAACTTTACTTCAGTCAAGCATTTGAAATAATGTACACACAAAATAACACACGTAAAGTTATTAATAGTATTCTAAGCAGCCCTAAGACATTGCATAATTACATACTTTATTATCAAGAATATTATAATAAGAAGAACTCCAATAAACCACATATTGTTGTGGTCGTGTGTTTATTAACCCCATTGAATCAATGAAAGCAGTTCAATTAAAGCAGAATAAAATAAATCTGTTTATTCGCCTATCGCTATAAAGATTTCCTGGGTTTCTTTAGTGAATATTTGGCCCTCTGGCCTTCGGAGGAGGTTTACTACTGATCACATCACGGTAGTTTCCACACATGATGTGCAAGACAATCATAGCTTTTGAAAAATCGCAAATGCGCTATTTATGTAGATTTATCATTTAGTCCTTAGGCCATTTGTAGACTGGTTTGACCAAAAAGGTGCTATTAAAAACTGTCACCTGGTGAATAATGGCATTTTGAGGCAGGCTATCATTACATCATCATAGCCCAGCCAATTGCAGAATCCGGGAATCCGTTGTTCCACATAATAGTCAGATATTTCACACTTCGGCTTTAATTGACTTGAGAGAACTGTAAATGCAATATCATTTTTGAGTTTAATTGGCCACCCTCAGCACTGTGATGTCAAAGCCCTCAATTTATCTGTTTCCTTTGAAGTTGGATATTTGTTATCTTGATTTGAATTGACTGTGTCCATGAATATGTTCATGAGGGAAAATACACCCAGCCATGAGAGTGTAGGCAGAGAGCGGGGATGATGTCCACACCACAGCTGTTTTAAATGAGACTGGAAAGGAAAGCTATTGAAGGATTCTCTCAGGTATCAACAAAATAAAAAAGACAAAAAAGAGAAATATAACAAACTTTTTTTTTAAATAAATGTTGAAAATGTCAGCCATGCCTTCTTGTTAGCTCATCATTCTTGGCTCTCTGAGTTGAAGATGTGCTTTCAGTGTTGTTGTCTTGTGGTCTTCTTCTCTTTATTGTTCATCTGTCTCTTCTTGTCTCTGCCACACACACACACACACACACACACACATTTCTTGGTGTTGTTTTAAAGGAGCTTATAAAAGTGAGAAAATCCTGATGAGAACTCAGCTTTGCTTATCTCAGTCATATTTCTGCAAATGACTAATTTTGATATAGAAAATGCAGTGAAACCAGACCCAGTCAAACCTTGCTTTACCTAAAGGAACATTCCACTTTAAAAAAAAAAATAGGCTAATTTTACAACTCCCATAGTGGTTAAACACTTGAGTTTTATCATATTTAAATAAATTCAGCCGATCTCCAGGTTAGGCAGAAGCACATTAGAATAGCTTGGTATAGATCATTGTATCGGTTTTGAACATTAGCATCTCACTCAAAGTATTTTAATAATTTTCCCATTCAAAGGACACTTATTTTACCCCTATTTTTAAGATTTTTTAAGTCATTTTGTTTTCAGAATGTTTCTGTAAAGTTTCAGCTCAAAACACCCATCAGAATATTTATTATACCTTTCAAAAAATTTTAATTTTCTGCCCTAAACACAGTGTGGCTGTTTTTGCTGCCTGTGCCTTTAATGCTAGTTCTCCCCACCCACCGTTCCAACATGCCTGTCAGAATGTGCCTCGACCTCCGCCTCAGCTCCGTCAGATAAACAGCACAGTGACAGACATGAAGGAAGCAGATCTTACGTAAAGTTTGTAAGAAATACTAAAGTAAGAACTTTCCCAATAATTATTTGATGTATTTGTTGTGGAGTTAATTCAAGCCTTTCTGCAACGATTAGTCACAAACAATGTCGTTACAAAGTTCACACAGCATGCGCGTTTAACTTTGCACACAAATGTGACAGGGAACACATTAATATCCACTGCTATATGGATATTTCTTATGTTGATGCACAAAATAAACCCCACACGTCCACAAAATTAACATCCACAAACTGGGATTGAACCGTCTTCTTTTATAATTGTACTGACACATGACTGTGGCGATAAAGATGGTAAAATTGCTGTAATTCATTACAAACATGCACTGTTTTTAAAACATTTTAAACTTGTTAAACTCATTCTTGGTCACATTTGATGATGATTGATCACAGAGAGCTCAACAGATCTTTTAATCCCAGTTGCTTTGCGCACGTCCTGTCTTGTTGATATGATTATACGCGTCACTACAGAAACATGTTAATAGAAATGTTGATTTGGATCCTATTTTAATATCAGGAAATTTAAAAAAAGAGACATTGTCTCTATATCACCCCAATATGATATATGGATACACTATACCTACACACAGATCTGTCCAAACAGCTTACAAAAGATGATTTTCATCATAGGTGCCCTTTAAAACTTGACCCTTCTGTAGTTACATTTTGTACAAAGATCAACAGAAAATGAAAAGCTGCTATTTTTATTTGCTAGGTCGCTATGGTTTGGAAATATACTCTCATTTTAGCATAATAATCAAGAGACTTTGCTGCTGTGCTATGACTGCAATACAATGTTTATGAGATGCTTACAGTATGTTGAAAGTCACCTAGCTGGTGACAATTTTCAAGAGCTGCATCATTTCATTGGCCGGCTACAGTCAAGATTTAAATAGGAAAATTATCAATAAATTATTATTATTATCAAATGGTCATTTTTGAGCGTGATGCTAATGGTCCAATAAGCTATATGCACAGCTAGTGTTTTTCAGCCAATGATAAACTTCCGGTGAAAGCTTTATGTGATCATTTTCA